CGTGTATCCCGACAGCTATATGCATGCATGAAGCTAATAATAAGACCCAGTCAGATCCGCGTGAGGGGTGAAGAGGACGGATAACGAGTGATTTTACTTTATTCGCGTCACAGAAGGCGCATGCGAGCTCACGGGTGAAACACAGTCAGTGCACGTCTGTGTGTCACCTCTCACGGCGCTCTAGTGTCGCGTGTATCCACTCTATTAGAGCGCGAACCGATCAGCAGAATGGTGAGGAGGAGGGATAACCACAGCTACGGTGAAGTTAGATCAGGGCATCGGCGTTTGATTTTTCGATGGGAGAACATTTAAATCTGTTTACCTCGCGGCGATGTATAACCTCTGGAGACAATCAGTTGTTTACTACACAGCGCCAGTATCATACTAAGACCCATATCGCGCGCGCGGGTGAGCGTTGGGCGCACGTTCGTAACACTACAATTTTCTCTCCTGGCTTACCCTTCCCTCTAGGTTCATCAACAATCTCACGGAGGTGTTTATCTAACTGGACAACAACCGACATCCGGCACAAACAGAGCTCCTGCCCGCAATCGAGTGAACACGCTATCACGAAATAATTTTATAATAGAACCAATACATAGTATATGGTATTCATATTCAGGAGCAATACATATATAGTGATAGTGTATTATATTATGATATATTGATGTATATATTATATATTTATATATAATTATTTAAAGTATATTAATATATTATAGTGTATTTATATATATATATGTATATAACACATGAGATGTAGAGAGAGGAGCATGTACTCACTCGGTCTGGTCGTCGTTGAAGATCAGCTCGTGTCCGCTGTAGTCGTAATCTTTGCCCTTCTTCGCCGTACCATCGACGACGCGGTAGTAGAGCTTCACACGGCCCCGTGCGCCGCTGTTACGAGCGACGCGCACCGATGCCTCGCCGACCGACTCGACGACCTCGAGCTCGGGGCTGTCGAAGGTGAAGCAGCCCGAGTGATCGTCGTCAAGTATCATGACGGTGGCGAAGAACGGCGTCGAGAGCTTAGCGAGCTGCGACAGGTCGTCGTTCGTGCTGCGAAATAGAGAGAGAGAGAGAGAGAGGGGAAGGTGTAGCAGACACGTGATAGAGAGAGAGGGGAGGGGAGAGGACAGAGAGATGAGGGAAATTTAGTAGACGTGTCACAGAGAGGGAAGGGATGGAACAGTGAGAGAGAGAGAGGGGGAGGTGTAGCAGACACGCCATAGAGAAGGAGGGAAAGGGATAGAGAGAGATAGAGACGGGAGGTGGTGTACCAGAAACGCCAGGGAAAGGGAGGGGAGGGGATAGAGAGAGAGGGGGAGATGTATCAGACACGCCAGAGAGAGAGAGAGGAGGGGATAGAGAGAGATAGAGAGGGGGAGGGGTAGCACACACGTCATAGAGAGGGAGGGGAGGGGATAAAGAGAGATAGAGAGGGGAAGGTGTAGCAGACACGTCATAGAGAGAGGGGAGAGGATAGAGAGAGATAGAGAGAGAGAGAGAGAGAGAGAGAGAGAGAGAGAGAGAGGAAGAGAGAGAAACAGAGAGAGAAAGAGCAAGAGTCACCGGGACTTACATTTGAACATCTAATATTAGAGTTTCCTGTTTATTTAAGTTATGTCTTATATTTATATGCATGCAGTCTCATGAAACTTAACAGATGCAGCACACTCGTATGATTACACCATGAGAAGATATTACACAGATGTGCGCTTATTGCGTGTTCTCTATTATATATATATATATTATATATGTTTATGTACTTATAACTATATGTATATCACTTGGCTGCTTAACCTGTGGCAATCGAGTAATACAGTCTGAGTCGGTAAAACAAACTACACGACACTGAGATTTTTGAGACAGCTGCATTGCAATGACATAAAGTATTGCGTTCATATAATATTGCCGATAAAGTATGACATTAGGATTAGGCTTGATCTTGTGGTTAGGGCTAGGTGTGAGGTTATGTGTAAAGTAAGGGCTATTACTATGGTTATAGTTAGGTAGTAGCGATAATTCTATGGTTAGAGTCACGATAAGGTTTAGGGTTACAGTTATGGTCTCGGTTACAGTCAAGGTTAAGGTTAGTGAAAAGAGGAGGTGAACAGTCCCCACGTTGACTCCGACCTTGAAGATTAGGTCCTTAAATAAGTTCATTTGGTTGGTTGATAATAGAGATAACTTGGTTGATTTCTACTCAACCGTGAAGCTCAAACGTACTGCTAACAATCTTAGCAGTCTTAGCAGTACATTTGAACTACAAGGTTGAGTAGAAATCCACCAAGTTATCAACCAAGCCAGCAGTCGTTACCCACCACAGTGACAAGGACGCAAGCAAACGCAAACGCGTCACCGCTTCGCGTGTATACGAAGGAAGCTCTTTATTTAGTTTTAATTACGCAGACACGCCTCGCATTCTCAGGAGAACGCCGGCCTCAGAAACTGACGTCAGCAACCCTCAAAGCTTGGACGCCACGCGTACGCTACGGGATCTATTAGCAACGCGCTGCGGAAAAAGGAGCCACCTACTTGATGTACATGCCGTCCGGTCCGCCCAATCTCAGGTTGCTCAGATTCACGTAGAAATGCTCGTCCTCTTCAAAGACGTCGTCATCTATGATGTTGATTGGAATTTCCTTCTCTGTCTCTCCCGGTTTAAACACCAGCGTGCCTGAATGAGAGGAGAGAGAGAGATGAGAAGAGAAGTATTTTGATGGGTTCCTTCTCTGTCTCTCCGGGCGTGTCTGAATGAGAGAAAAGAGAGATGAGGGGAGAAATATGTTGATGGGAACTTCCTTCTCTGTGTCTCCAGGCTTAGGTACCAGCGTGCCTGAATGAGAGGAAAGAAAGATGAGGGGAGAAATATGTTGATGGAAACTTCCTTCTCTGTGCCGCCAGGCTTAAGCACCAGCGTGCCTGAATGAGAGGAAAGAGAGATGAGGGGAGAAATATGTTGATGGGAACTTCCTTCTCTGTGTCTCCAGGCTTAAGCACCAGCGTGCCTGAATGAGAGGAAAGAGAGATGAGGGGAGAAATATGTTAATGGGAACTTCCTTCTCTGTGTCTCCAATCTTAGGCACCAGCGTGCCTGAATGAAAGGAAAGAAAGATGAGGGGAGAAATATGTTGATGGAAACTTCCTTCTCTGTGCCGCCAGGCTTAAGCACCAGCGTGCCTGATATGAGAGGAAAGAGAGATGAGGGGAGAAATACTGTTGATGGGAACTTCCTTCTCTGTGTCGCCAGTAGAGCGGAGGCGGCCTGAATGAAGGAAAGAGAGAATGAGAGAAGATATAGTTGGATGGGGTCCGTTCTCTGTCTCTCCCGGCTTAATTAGAAGCGTGTGAATAGGAAGTGTCAGTGAGGAGGGAAGGAGATGCTGAGTGGAGGAGTTACTCAATTTGCTACGATCATATCCGCTGGAAGAAAGAATACGAGACAGAAAATGTGTGGATGTGTGCTGGTGCTAACTGATGCCTGCCATTATAGCTAAAAAAGGAATGGGAAGAACGCGTATTGCATGTGGTGGTGGTGTGGGGGGGGGGGTATTACTGCTGTTATTATTGATACGTAGAAGAATGAGGGAGAAAGAGAATGTCGTGTGCAATATGTAGGATAGTGTACTGTGAGTATTCGCTCCCTGTGTTGTGGCTATTCTTGCCGTTTATTAAGCGCCATTGATGATATCTCTGAAATCAGAGAGTGAATGAGGTGAAAGAAAGAGAGAGAGAGAGAGGAGAGAGAGAAGGAGGAGAGAGAGAGAGAGAGAGGAGAGGACGTCTTATCTTGCTCCAATTACAACGTTATGGCGTTTACACTCGCTTTCCAGCGTTATGGCAAATACTGCCAACGCTTTCGGCATTGGAAAACGCAACGATGAGGAATCTCAGATGCTAATAATTATCCTGTGTTAGACATTAGCGGCTGCTGAGAGGCAATCTCCGGTTAGTGTCTAGAGATGCCTGACGAATTGTTCCATGTGCGATTGTGGACTTTAATTTGGTGCTGAAGTCAAATAAAATACAAGGCATACAAAATAAATTAATGAGTGAATTATTAAGTGGTGAATGAATGAATGAATGAATGAATGAATGAATTGAATGAATGGAATGAATTGAATAAATGAATGAGATGAATGAATGAATGAATGCAATGAATGAATGATGATGAATGATGAATGAATGAATAATAATATGAATGAATGAACGTGGGCTACTCGTAGCAACGATCACGTTGCATAGAACTAATCAGCGATAATCAATAGATAGACGTTAGTTATTCAAACACTCATTTATTATTCGAGTTCCGCATGTTATAATATGTGTGCGGCGAGTTCCGTGTGTGCGTGCGTGAGACGTGTGTGTGCAATGAGGTGCGTGCATGCGTCGATGAGTCAATGTATACGTGAAAAAGACCGTAACGTGCGTGCATTATTCGTGCGGGCGTGCGTGCGTGCGGAGTGCGTGGATGAATAACGCCGTGTGTGGGGTGCGCGTGCGTGTAGATGGCGAACGTTTGTCGTAACTTGCATGTAGTTGCATGTTTGTGCGTGGCGTGCGTGCAATGATAGCGCGCGTGTGTGCGTGATGGGCATTCTGCAACACGTGATGATTAACTCGATTAAAACGCAAGGCTATTAGCCTCACTTGCCAAACGCCGTTTTTAAATACGGTCAATTCAAAATTTATCATCCGCTGAGTGTTTAAGCGTTTATCGACTGTTTTGGGCGTTAATGGCCTGTTACCTGTTTCACATCACAGGTTAACGCATTCTGACGCATTGGTTATTCGCCATTAATCGTGCCGCTGAAATATCAACGCGATGCAGCTATATATTCATATACCAATCTTCGAACGACTTGTCAGTGATATCATACTTTCTTTTTAACGTCGTAACCTTATATTTTGGCCGCTGATTTTGAAATACGGCCCAACACATAAGAACGCACACCCTTCGCCATTCTTTTTGATAAAAAGTCAAAATACAAGAGTTTTGTTTGCTTAAAATACTTCCGACGTATTAAAGTTCTGCCATAAATTTGTGCGTTTAAGCATAATCCTAAAAAACCGAAACGTGTTATTTTTTCGATTGTTAGCTGCAAACGCTTTGTTAATTTTAACACTCAGCTTGCCAACGCTTTATAAGAAGGTGTTAATCGTTCGTGTTGCAATAAAGTCTAATTCAAGTCCTATGTTTATACTGTCCACAAGTACATTCATTTCCTTACGCAACAAGCCTGCTTGCGTTGTAAATCCAGGTGAGTAGCGTTTTACCGGCACTTCCGTATAATGACTTATCGGCCGTGTTAGAATATAAAGATCAACATCGCTGGCTGAACATCGTTCCTTCCAAAACAATTTCCAAAACAAACAGGATGTCGAATTAATTCGGGTAACGGACGTTCATAGACCTGTTCTGGCTGGAGAAAGAAGAGGCATGTCCGACCTGGCAGCTTTGGCGCGCCAAAACCTTCATGATTAAACGGTTTGTTTTAGATTATATATCGGTCTGATGATACGTGGGGATGCTTTT